CTTCGGAACTAGGAACTCGACGTGAATGCCGTGGGGGGATATCAGAAAATAATGGTTAGTTGAAGCACCTGGTAACAGCGTCTTCGTTGAACCGGCGAGGCATTCTGAGCAAGAGCTTGTCCAAACCTTAGGGCGAATTGCCCAATACACGAGTCTTACGGCCAACTCCTTCGCCTGTATCTGGGTCAGATGGTGGCACTGCATGACTTGGCAAGCTATTCACATGTTCTGGAGCAGAGCACACCTTTCCCAGTAATGCTCAGCGTCCCAATGAACGCCGCGTTTTCTTCTGTGTAGTTCCTTCTTTTACCCATCAAGTACAACAGACGCTGCATCACTCCGCCTTTGGTAGCATGCTGTCTGGGTGGTGGTGCAGATGTCTCAGTGGATCTGCTTTTGGTTGGCTGACACATAGTGGAGTTGCTGACGATAATACCGACAAATAGATTCCCATGTGTGTAGGAATGCCCTGGACACGTGGATGTCCAGAGGCAACAGGACTCAATGCGGTTTCATAGTGCCATGTTTGAACTCTCAAAAAGGACCAGAAGGTCAAAACCAGTGAGCAACCTGTAAGGGTTGGATTCCAAGTGTGATCCGATGTGATCCATGTTCTATTTGGACTGGGTTGTATGGGTTTCAGATCCGGAAGAATGTGGAGATCTTTCAGCGGTGGTCTGATCTAAGCCACTAGATAACGCCTCGCTCAGGTGGGCTTGCCAGTTAAGCAAACGTAAACTGATTCTGATGCTGACAGCCGATCAACCAGGCAAATATTGCCCCAGGCTCATGACCAGTGCGGTGTGCGTGTCACAAGACGAATACATCTAACATCCAGGCGCAATAGTGACCGTGACTCTTGCTGGGATTAGTGGATACCGGCAATCTTCACTCTGCCAAGCTTGGCTGCACTGGTGGTGTATTCATGTCGGCGGTGTTGACGCAAGCCAACCTTTGTCGGAAACGATTAGCGTAGGCCAACTGGGTAACCATGTTCGTGTCAGCACTTTCACGGACGTGAACTAAGCGGTGAGCTGTCAAGCTGCTTTCAGTTTGCCAAAGTCCTCACACGTGAGCCACACGAGTTTTCCCGTATGCAGGCTTAAACTGGCGCAGAGGCGCCGACTGTTGTGGTGCTCATGTCGAAAGCAGCCTGTACGTTGAAAACAAAGGAAGTGGTTAGACCTGTCTGGAGTTGCTCAGCACTTAGATCACCCAGACTAACGTCCGGGATATTCACTTCACATCCCAAGGAGGTGCTTCGGTGTGCTGATTATACTATATTATACTACACTATACCTTACTATACTATACCACACTGTACTATACCACATCAATATACTTTACTGCAAAATGATATTTCCGCCAGAAACAGGGACCACATCTAAGATCACAAAAGATTCACCTAGGCAAGCACATGTGTCACGTAGCCTAAAATCCAGACAGAGATATGTGGCAAAAAAGACTTGAGGCATACAGGATGCCCTTTGCGTGAAAGCTTGCACAAATCCTCTTACAGCCTGCATCGCCAATAGTAACTTGAATGTGGGATTCATTCATATCTGTCTCAGGAAAGCGCTTAAGACTGACCGCTTTTTTAAGGTTCTTTCGGCTGGTCGTTTCACTGGACCGCTTGAGGTTCACACTGAGTAGGGAGGCACCAGCTATCACCATCACTTGCTGTGTTGCCGGTACCAGTCAGTACATGTGGAATTCCCGACAAGATAGACTTTCTCTAGATCACTCGCCTACTAAAACATATATTCCAGGGGATACCGTTATGTGCCCTACATAAGAGTGACCTTTTTTCGGAGGTCTCGCATCCTACAGGCATTATATACAAAATGGGAGATTGGCGATGTACAACGAATGGCCTACTCAAAACTGAGCAATGTTCGTGTTATTTATTTTGTCCTTAACTGGCTTAACTACAGTTCTCAAACTAGGCTCAGTCTTTTGTCGGGGTGTACATTCACTGCCATGTTTCTACCCCTTAGTAAAATGAAAATGTACCTTTATCAGTCTGCTTAACTGTGAATGACAGGTAACTCTGTTGTGCCCACCTCTGAGCACTAATCTGTCCATCCAGAGGTCTATTTTTTGCTGAATTACTGTGGTACTTGAGGGTCACATGCAGAAGCCCTAGTAGCCTTGGAAACAGGCATATGTATACTACAGTTAGTCATACAGCCCACTGTGGGCAAAGTCAAAACAAGGAATTTCTATCACGGCCCTCGTTATTAGTGGGGACTGGTCCTAAAGGATATTTAAGTTGGCTCTTTGGGAGTTGAGGTTGTCTGCTGGGTTCTTATCAGATCTTAATAAAGTAAAAGAAAGGACCCCTCTAGAGGAGTTGTTGCGGTTGATGAGTTCTACACCGGTTGCTTACCCTTTACGGCGTCTATGCTATCCAATCGCTGAGTCATCGGCCCGAATTAGTTCGGTGTCCGTTTTAGTATCCAAACAACCAAGCCGGCTTAAACATGTGCAGCACCGAAGGTTCATCAAGATATTTCAACTCACACTATTCCTCACAGCCCTATTGAAGCTAACGGTACCTGTCACCGCCAGTTAGGGCAAACTCAATGGATATTTTAGGCAAGAACTTTCTGTGGTGAAATCTGAAAGTCTGTAGCTCGCTTATGTCAAGTAAGTGAAGTAAAGTTATTGTACTCCGCGTCAAGTACTCAACGATCACGTCTCCAAACAGCGCTTTCCACATACCGGCGAAAGGCAGGATAGTTCGGTGTGGAGTTACTCTTCGTGGAGCATGAAGAGAGCATTGAGAACGAATGAGATGTGGAAGCAGAAATCTCACTTGCTTGGAGTTCCTGAGTTTTTCTGCCCGCCGTTTGAGTATTTGCACACTCAAACTGCAAAATGGATTTTAACTCAATTGTCAGCTAGCTGTTAAGACGATGCGTTGAACGATAATCGAATGTTACTCGTCAGTTTCATCAGAAGCACGCAGATGTCAAGACTAATTAGACAATCTGTAGGAATAAACTGTTTGCCAATCAGGCGTTTTTGTCTGGCGAATACATGGAATCACAGACTGTATTTCTCAAGGGGTTTTGTTGTTTAACTTTGCCCATTCCAACCAAGGAACTCATGTCACTCTTACCTGTCCAGCTCAGGTTGCCCAATCCTTTTTGCTTTTCAGAACTGTGAAAAGTTACCCCCTGAAAATAAACAAAAATCCAACGTTGTAGCTATCTTAACTCTTCGGTGTTTATCGGTAAGGTAATTCAGTTTTGACGAAACTTGGTTGTATAAACAGGGCTGTGAAGTTCATGCCCTTTCTGGCTTAACACGCTGATTCTGAAAGTAAGGGCCAGTGACCTAGAGTTTTCCCATTTCTACAAGACATAAGCATGCCTTGATTTGAACTGCTGTCGTAGAACTCGAGCGTGTTACCAACACTCCATCAGCACACGATCAGGCTAACATGTTCACGCGCAAATGACAAGATTGATTCGCACGGTTTTTCAAACAGAGACACATCTTGGATCGCCAACTCCATCAGCACACGATCAGGCTAACATGCTCACGCGCAAATGACAAGATTGATTCGCGCGGTTTTTCAGAGATACATCTTGGCTCGCCGAACATCTGGTTCGCCTGTCAGGACTTTCGAGCCTGATGGCTTTACGATTCTTGGAAAAATGGTTAAGCGCGTCAGTTCAGGTACTGCTGAACTGAGTGGTTGTGCTACAAAGCCCGCCAGTCTTGTCAGAGTTCCCAAGTTCAAACAACAGCATGTCCAACGAAATGCACTATTGTACCGTTTAAAACAGTAGTAAAGAGGACCACACAAAAAATAACAATTTGGTTACAAACAAAAGAGTTAGTTTCTGCATCCGTTTTTCTTATCAACCGAACCGTTCTCTCAAGTCACGGAAATCCAGGACCTCTGAAGATCACCATCAGCGTGAATAAACTACTTGTCAGCCGTTCACATGCACAATAAATACAAAGTGATATCTATCCATGGTTTTGCCTATTTATGTGTTTTTTTCACTCGGTAGGTGAAAATTTGAGCTGGTCTCGCCTGAACTAAACAAAGGATCTGCAGCTCTTCTATGTTAGCCCATTTTTGTGCCAAATTTTGTGAGACCGCAGAAGGAAATGGCCAGGAAAGAGCTATCCTCCTTTCATCTCTAAGACTACCATAGGTTGTTGACCTTGAACTCAGCCTTGAGGTTTCTGGCAATGTTCGTACTGTTGAACGTGTAATACGAACAGAACTTTCAGTCGTAACACTCTTTTGACGCTTAGCTACCATGCCACCCGTGGAAGCACGAGGGCCGAGGTAATACCAGGCTGCCCATGCCCCAAACAGGGGCATTCGAGATGCCTGTCCCAACCAGTTAGCTACCTCAGCCTCATGACTAATGCAAAAGACTGACTAACCTAGTGGCGGATCGCCCGCTCTCGCTCATTTGTAAACGATTCACGCCAGACTTTTGGCTTTGAGGAAAGTAGGCGAATGGAACAACCAGTTAAGTTATACAGCGGTTGGGGGTTGTTTCAACGAGAGGTGCTATTATTACTTAATTCCTAACATCTGAAATAATTGCGTACGTCTGTATTCAAACAGTTGCAGAAACGCAATAATTTTTACCCATTCTTTTGCTGTGCTTTTGGGACATGATATAATAAATGGATTTTTATTGGTAATCGCACTAACCTATGGACCGCTGGGACGTCGTCACGTGACAGTGAATCAACTACTACCAACCTCCCCGAGTGCGATGCGTCGGTAAGCAAGATGGTAACTGGGTTATGGGTGTTCCGCGGTTTCCTCCTCCCCGTGGACCACTTCTTGCCTTTCCTTCTTCGGAAAAGCGGCGTGGAAATGAGTTCCAAGAGCTTTGAGGCGCTTTCGTCCGCCATTCGGAAGCCGTAGGGCATGAGGTAGACAGATAAATAGAAGGCCATGAAAAAAGGTCTCGAAAAGCCCCGTTTATGGAAATGAGTAGTGTCTACTAGATTCTCGATAACTGCAAACATGGTAAAAACCACTCTCGATTGGCTTGTCACAACAGCTGCGCCAAATAATCCCGCGCACAATGGATGATGTCACATGCGGCTTGCGCTTGTCTGCATAGGCATCCACCCGAACGACTTGTACCCGGTGTTAACCCAAAGGAACACACAAGATTCGATGACGGACTGCTATCAGCATGCCCAACTGTTGTTCGATTGTTCTCAACCGGAGTTCGGACAACAGATTGTTTGAACTGTACAGTTTGTACAAAAGATAGCCTTGTGGGCTGAACCACTCATGAGACGTGCTAATGGCCCACAAACATGGTTAGCCAGCGCCAGCTTATGTTCATTTTGGTCAGTATAACGGTGAATACTAGAGAATACAATACAGTACAATGAAATGCTCTAATATCCAGTTGGTTCGTGATCGTTCGTTCAGCTGTAACACCCTTTCGGCGCCTAGCTGCCATGCCACACGAAGAAGGCACGAGGGCTGGGATACTGCCAGGTTGCCCAGGCTTCGACAGCGGAAGTCGAGACGTAGAGGTCGGGTTAGAACCACGGACCCTACGGTTGGTAAATTTGTCCTCTAACCACCTTAGCCGTCTCGCCCCAATATCCAATAGAATGCACTACAATATCAACCATTTAGCAAGGTGCATACCAAACGGATATGCGTTAGCAGTGAAAAATTACATAACTCTGAAACCCGAACAAGAAGCATCAAGTGGTGAAACAACTTAGGTCTCCCACTCATCAGGACAATGACGAGGGCTGCCAACAACCTCAGTCAACATTCACGGTGCTACACTAAACAGCACAGTCTAAAAATATTTTGACTGTGTCTAGAATAAGCATGAGTGAGTGTGAAAAACACACAAAGTAGAGTGGCGCGTTTTTCTGCTTGCAAGCCTCTTAAAACTGTTCGGCAGCCCACGGTGGCTTTTGCCCATCAGGTAGACGAAACCCCGGAGTTTCCGTCAACCTTGTGTCCTTCTTGAACACAAAATCGTGCGCGATTTTTCCGCGTGAAAATTTAGCTGGTTTTAGAATGGTGCACATTGCTGATAAAATATTATTCATCGATTGTTGCGGACGGATGCCTACACTGCTAAACTGTGCTGTATTTCTCCTAGTTGCTTAGATTTTATCGATCACCGTACGTAGTATACGAAGACACAGATCAACAAATCTTTAACCTCACTTCAACTGACTACTGTTTAATTTTGTTCAGTAGTTTGCAGTGAAAGAGTAATTTGTAAAGTTCAGGTGATATCAACACCAGCCTTTTGCAACTGTTCTGGTCATACCGTGTGCGTTGTCAAGAGTGCTCGTTACAGAAGTAGCCTCAAGGACCTCCGATTGTGCCTTTCGAATTGAGCTATTCACACACTCATCAATTTGGGCGGTTTATTTGGTCCAAAAACGATCAGTATGCTGCAGCCGAAGCAAACGCCTGATGCAAGTAGGATGTACGTGGAGTATTGATTTAGGTGCCGAATTCCGGATAACGAATAGCAGCTACTATATGATGCTCACACGCACCATTTGAGCAGTTCCTTAGAAACGAAAACAGTAGGTGCTGTTTAGAAGGTTACCGGAATACTTATAGCTCCTTCCATTGTGTGCGTTTGTCTTTGTTCGGATCAATAAGCCACCTAGAGTGGCACTTAACATGACCCATATCAGAAAGAGCATCCTAAAAGTTTACCTCATTTCCCACCGGCATGAACCGAACTTGATTTCGAATAACATCATAGCCTATCTAACTTGGACAATTTAATCTTTCAGATTGGAAATTTTATCACTGGACGAGACCTACGAGGGATTGTACACATGCGAGTGTCAATATACTGGATCGGTGGAACCAGCAAGAATTCAACGAGTCCTTCGTGTATTTGGTGAGTTGAATTTCTTCCAAACTATTTGTTCACTGGCAAACATAAAAAATGCGGACATGTTAATTCACTCTCTTCAAATCATCACCATCATCATCACCATCATCATCATCATCATCACCATCACCGACAGCTGAAATGAGCGTTCAACACCGATGCTTCACTGCCGTGCAACCATGATTTATTTGAAGGCCTTATTGTAAAGGAAAGAATAAAGGTGGACGGGGGAGGGACTTAGTGCTAGCTTACTACAGTCATTCCGAGGTGCACACACTAGAGAAAGAAACTGACAACAAGATCGACACTGACATCGGTTGGCAGCCATATCTTGCAGCGTCTCCAACCAGGCGCGATGGGAATCACGTGGTCGCCATCCTGTATGGCGAGTAGCACGGACAGTACCCAAACGTTTTGTAATCTCCGTACCCCTCTGTCAGGTCAAAGATTGGCCAACTCTGCTTCCACCACTCTGGATTGGACACGGGAACCAGTGCTCTCTTCGGCAACACATGTCCCAACCAACACACCTTTGCGTGCCGGACACATTCTTCAATGAAAGTACCCGTTGCACAACCATTTTATTTCAGCCCCGTGAATTTTTCAACCAACTTGCTGCACAAACTACCGCTCATCCCCAAAATTCTCTGGTATTTTGGTCCAACTACGTCCTGTTTTTCTTCATAACTTAGAAAACGCCAAAAGTGATGTACATAACGACAACTTGTTTTCATCTTTACGCATTCATGAAGTCCAGACGTCAAGTTTAGGCCGATTACGTGCTTGTTTCTGGTATTTACTCACCAGAATGATTGTCTCAAGACAAGAGAACGGTTGTTCAAAATAGCAACAAAACGGTAAACGAATAAGCAAAAAACAAACAACAAATAATGAAGCGAAACAGTATATAAAAACATCGGCTGGATGAGAGCTCACTCAGTCGGAAGGAATTCAAGAGACAATTCTGAACCGATTAAAAGGTTGCAATATCATTAGAAAATACATAATCCAATAGGTTCCTCAGTTGTTTCATGACACACCCCTCAGCACACGTATCAATGGCGTATAGCACTCAGTAGTTAGGGAAGACATCCTCAACGTCAACAATAGTTCTTTCAGCTAACTAGAAGGCACCTATTCCAGCGGTTTTTTGAAGTGCGTCTACCTGAATCTCATCTTTCATGACTTCATAGTTTACTCTTGCCGCTGAAATTGCGCGCTTGGTGTAAATTCTAGTGAGCTAGCTGTCTTTAACTTAGTTATGGCCAAAGATTAGGTTTGCTTATCGTTTCTAGACAGTCAGCCGCTCTGCTTCAGTGACTGATATCAGGGCCGGCTTTCACCCACGCAGGTCGAGGTTGATCAGACAGACAGGTTATAGCAGCTTGATAATATCGTGCTGCAAAGTGGTGTACACATTTCTGGTAACTTGAGTTGATCTTAAAATCACTTCAAGTAACGTAAGATTGATTATTCTATCCCAAGGTACCGCCCAAACCTGTATGATACCACGCAGGCACAATCCGTTCTATTAGAGCTGCTTTCAAGTAATTCATGCTTGATCATGATCCGGAGTAGGTTAATAACTGTACTGGCAGTTTGGTCCTCAGGTGAGCCTCTTCTACATGTTAACTACAACTGAACCGGTGTGGCAATCCACACATGCAAAATAGTAAGATACCGACAATACAAACTGGATTCACACAGTTCAGCTCATCAATAGACGGAAAATCACACTGTGGATGCCCATCACCCTGCTCTGGCCAAAGGATAGCTTGAAAACTGATAGGTAATAAAGAACCAATCTCTGAAATCACACCTCAAATCGTACTCTGCACGAAAAAAGCAGTCGGAAGAGAACCAAAAAACAAGTAGCTCAAAGGAATCTGCAACAGGAAATAGCAAAAGCAACCGCCTTATTCAGACAGATCGCACAGTACATGCTACAACTAATCGGTGTTCGCGGAAAATGGGCTTTCCGGCCTCAGGCAGCATCCTGCTCATACTTCTTATCGCGACATAATTCTATTCCATCCACAAATTGAGCATAGTGAAGTGTAAACTGGACCAGCTGGCCCCCTGTATACACGCCACGATATCGGACCCAATGCATGGTTCATTTGGAGGGATGGGGACTAATGTATACCTTCGCACTTTTGCATGTTCCACAACGTTTAGATGGTCATATAATGAAAATCTTGGATCAGAGGTCAGGCTAGATCAACTTCCTTGTCCGAACTTACGATACGCACGGTGCAGTATTACTTGAGCGCGTTTCAGCTCAGGGCTTATCCACTTAGCCAGCCAATAAGAATCCTGCCTTCTGTAAATTTTGATCAGCTTCATTATTCGCTCGACCAGCGTTGTTCGTTTGGAGTTTAGCAAGCAGAGCTAAACGGCAAAGCAAGGAAAAATCCTCGAACTAAGCTTCGATATCTATGAATGATTGGGACCGAACAAATCCCCTGAGTAGCTCGCGTTCATCATCGACTAAGCTCTGCGCAACAGATATCCTTGAATATGCTTAATTTCCGCCATTGTTGTTTCTGCCAAAGCTTAGCTGCTACCCGCATAAACAACAGTCTTCTGTGACATTCGTCCCCTCTGGGCAGAGAAAAACCTTGTCACGGTAAGGCATTCCAGATGAACCCTCTCCTTCGTGGATTTTACAGTAACACCTTAGAATAATGAGACCCCTTCGAATTGTGATCATACCCAACAACAATCAAATGAAGGATTACTGGCAGTTTTATTGCCCAGATTCTTCAACCTCCAATGGAGACTTCGTCCTCTAAGGGAAGCCAATCTGTGCTGAAAAGCTGAGAATCCCTGCACAACTGTTTCACCTTTGTTGGGAATCGTCATCAGTGCGCATCCTGGAGGTCACCGGTTCTAAACAGGTAGTTTAGAACCGGTGACCTCCCGGCCAATAGTTTGAACAATCAACAACCCGCCGCTGATCAGCAATGTGATTAGCTTGGACGGCTTCGCCTACTGGACGAAATCTCCATCAAAAAATCCCGAATCTCACACTACTAGCCATCTATAAGTAGCAGAGAGAAAGTGTAAATTCACAAGATATGTGAAAGTTCCATTCAAGAGGCCGACTCTCGAGGAGCCAGTCAACACGTATGCTCATATGGTGCGGATCCCGTGATTGAAAGCCGAGCGGTCTTATATCCTCTGTAAGTGCGAACTACTCAAACTGGTGATCAGCCACTCGTGGCCGAACAGTTAAGTGTTCAAACTGCTAGCTATATGGTCCGAAATTCCCTGGACTTTACAGGATGCGCACTGCTGGCGATTCCCAATAAGGATGAAAAACCTGCACAGTGCCCCTCGGCTTTTCAGCATAGAATGACTTCACTTACAAGACGATGTCTCCATTAAAATTCCAAAGTCTCGCGCTTCCAGTTCATTCCTCCTCTACCATTATAGTTCAACTTTCACTCGGTTATAGTTTGGCTCCAAACAGCACTCTGCACTTTTACTTATGTACAGGGTGTCTCATAATAGACGCGAAAAAGAACGCCCATGTTAAAACTTTAACTTTATTTGAACATACATGCATCATGTAGGTCTACTGTAACTAAACTGGCATTGGAAAAAATGTTGAAAAAAACCGTCTCCTTCTTCTATAACAAGTTGGAGGCGGTATAAGTGGAGACACGGCATGTTTAACTTCTTCAAGCGTCACTCATGCACACTCCTCTTCAATTCTTGCTCCCAACTCCACCAAGGTGGCGTCTCATAACAGGATGCACACAGGCGCGGGGATATCCACCTGAGACACCTGAGTTATTGACGAAGATGCCATGGTGCTCCGGGACTGAAGTTGCTCGACGGCATTCTGTACAATGGGTGCTCTTTCATCACTCAGAGATTTTCTCCCTTTGACAGAAAAATCCAATACAGATCCAGTGGACTCAAATTTCGCAATCAAGCGTGTAATGGTCGACATGGTGAAAGAATCTTTGATGAGACCATGTTTGGTTTTGCAACCACGAAGTGCAGCGGTGGCGCTTTCACCAAAGGAATAATAAAGTTTCACAATTTCAGTGCGCTTACTGACATCCATCGTAAATAAAAAAATGCTAACAGTTGCATACAAAATTTCCTTTATGTGACTACTAATATAAATCTTTTTATTTTTTCTTCAACTGCTACGTTTACTTACTTAATTAACTTTTGCGTTTATTATGAGACACCCTGTATAATGAGTAGTCGCATGGTCTGACCGCAAAAAATCATAAAAGTCAAAACGAGATACTGTCCCCTGAATTCCTCTTCTCCAGAATGGAACACCCACAAAGTTGCTGAAATGCTGCTCACTCTGGATTGCAGCAAACGGATAGGCGAACCTTCGCGTAACACTCCCCCTGTAATGTGACTGCACACCTCTCGTGTATTCTTCTAGCACTTGCTAATCCTATTGCAGATTTAATGTCCCTACGGTTCAGTCGAGACGTTCTTCACCATTTGGTAGCGTTTCTTGATGGCGGAAACTTTCCATCTCGCTCCCTCTCTTTTGTCATGACAATAAAGGATACGTTTCCCTCTCCCTACTTTGCATTTCACCAGCAAAACCGGTGATCGTAACCCACAGGTCTTCGTATGATACCGATGCGAACGTGAACGATAACGTGGTCTTGCAGTGTGCGGCCGAAGGCATACCCACACCGTACATATACTGGCAGCGTACAGGAGGACAGAGCAGTATCATTCGAAACTATGGAACCTTGAAAAGCGTGAGTACTTTCTATGAGATCTTACCTCTTCTTTTTTGGACACAGTCTTCAGGAATGGGTAGGTTATATATGTGTGTGTAATTAGTGAAGTTGGAGAACTCCTACCAGACAATTGATGAGAGTTGTCAAACAGAAATATGAAGCGAGTATTTCCATGTGCTCCAACAGTTCTTCCTCGAACCGGATTGCGCAACAATATTTTTTGTCTTTGCCTGTGTTCTCTGGAACTTTGGCGATGCCTCTATCCAGCAGTCTGTGTGTATCGACCCATCTATTAATGATCTCAGTGACACATTATATAAAGGCTGTCAGCATCTTGACCATAAGTTCAGCTTTAATCTGAGCAGTTTCGACTGATGGAATTTATTCCATTAGTTCCAATGTGTTTCGAAATGCAAATTGTCTTTTGAACAAACAGTTCTTAAACGTACTACTACTACACACTACTGGTTTCGCACTTTTTGGGACTCATCACGTATCCCTAGTCTCTCAGCTTCCATCGACCTTTTCTCCCAAATGAACACTAAAGTGTACGCATAGTACACTCATCTTCAAATTGGCTCGGTGTTGACGAGGGGTCTCGCTTTCTGTATTCTCAATTTCTCAAGCCGTGTGTTTCATCAGCTACTTGAATTGCCTCACATATAGCCGAGTTGAAGGTTTGTTTTCACGCTAAAGTGTTCATTCAAACGGTGGAAAACGTGCGTTTCAATGTTGATCCATTCACGATGTTCTGCAGACATATCAATGGTATGTCAACGCTTACAGCGTCTATTCTCTGGAGATTAGTTTCCGCCATTGTTCACATTTTTGTTGGATTACTACCTCCGAACAACGTAACCATGGCGTACCAAACTACTGATAGTTCGCTACTACTCGGACGATAGTTGATCGGCTTGCCGCCGAACAGATTGGACATCGCGTCACAGATGATAGGTGCACGTGCAGTCCAAAACAGCTCGCCGGACAAGGTCGTAAGGTCGTAAGGCCACTTCGTACGTTATATGTGCCAAAGACCCTCATCGCTTGATACCCATTATCCAACATCGACCAGACTACGACAGCGAGATATGCCAAGTTCAAAGGTCACGTGGGCATCGGCGAATGAGAACACGGGATAAAAGAACAGCGTCCGACAGAACAACTAATCGCGGTCAAAGGTCATCCCCGGCTACCGGCGGGTATATCAGCACACACGTTACACTACTGAAGGCACACCCACTAACCCACCGCTACGCACAACTACGCACTGATGATGTCACCTCGATCGGTGGTGAAACTTTTGCAACCGAATTGCCCGCTCAGCGAACAAGCCAACGACCATCTACGCTACCTGAGCTACCGACATTCTCCTCTACAGAATACCCATTATCCATTTGCCTTTAATATCTTGTATCCAACTCTGCTGCCCTCCGGAGTGGACTTCAGGCACAGAAGGCTTGCGATTCTCTTTGTCTAAGACAGTTTACGTCAAGTTCGAATCCAGAAACAAATATTCTTTTTTCATCACTCAAACACCTTTTTCGACTAAACTAACTGGCTACTATCCATTATTTTTCAGGGGAATGAGATCCGTTTCGATGCAGTGCAAGCCGATGACGCCGGCGAGTATGTCTGTTTTGCTGAAAACTCTATGGGGCAAGCCCTGTGGCGAGTTCAGCTCAGAGTTCGCCGTGAGTTACCTTGTGTACCACCTGTTTTCCAGACCAGATACTGCTGTCTTAGATAATGTGGACGCCTTCGTAAAGTTTGGAAAAAACGGAAACACCTGTTCCCATAACTGTGGATGGCTAGTTATCTACCTGTTCTTGGTTGGGTACAACCCCTCGGGACCGACCACAATCGCTCTATTCATGGAAGCACGCTCTCTCAGGGGTGCAAAGTTCGAACCCTAATTTTGTAGCACTCTTCTCAACGGTCAAGACTGACACCAACTGGTGCGTAGAAGAATGTGTAAAACAGTTATGCTACCAAGTTATCAAAAACAAAACCGATTGCTGTAATCTTGGATAAATATAATTTAGCATCTTTTTAACTGGCCGCTTCGTTGAACGAATATGACTCTTGTAAAAGAGGACAAAACCTTCAGCAAACAAGTGGCTGAAAAATATGGTAGTCAAAATGCACTTTCGATAGAGATTTCGTCGTATGCTGAAAATCCGCGAAGCATTGTCGGTTGTTTCATCTTTCGAACTCGCGACCTTCCAGCTAGATGTTTGGACAATTGGTCGCTCAGTCACCAGCAGTCAATCAGCAGAGTGATTGCCGCGCCATCAGACAGGATATGGTGTAGTTCCACCTTCAACCTCGGGATCTAAACCTCATCTGAGTAGTTGTCACTTGAACAGCCATTCAGAACGTGTGAATACGTGATATGGATCCCCTGACTGAAGAATGAGCGGTGCTATACGCGCTCTAAGTGCGAGCTAATCACACTACTGATCGGCCACTGGTGGCTCAAATTACTAGCCGGAGGTACCGGGTTCGAAGCTCGCTGGAGTTTCGTAAGATGCGCACTGCAGACTGTTTTAAATAGGGACAAAACAGTTGTACGGTGCTTCTCGGTTTTTCAGCATGGGTTGGTTCCAATCACAGAACGAAATTTCCAATAAAGTTCTCAAATATCCTCAGGCTTTTTCCTGGAGGGTTGAACCCAACCGCGTGGAAACCCACCCCCTTTGAATAAATCTCATTTACTGCTGATGGGGACGGTTATCTAAGGCCACCCAACCATCCAATAAGGTTTGGCTAAGTTTGTTGTCAACATAGTAGTATAATTTGACGTATTTTAGTGCACGTACAGCATTGATTCCGTTGGTTTCGATCAGTGTGGTGTGTCCTTGTTCCGATTTGTCGACACTCACAGAGTTACTGGCGCACAAATCAAGAGTTTACTAATGATATGAGGTCAATCTCACCCTAACTAAACATCCAAGCTGATAGGTTTGGGTATAAGGTGCCATATGCACAAATGTTACTTTTTCTCCCATATGTTCTCTTCTTGAGGGGCAGTCTAACTCTGAGAATAGGGGCAATTGAGACCAAACTTCTCGGGAACATATGCTTTTCTGTGGTATTTCCTTGGGGTCAGCAACTTACATTCATCGCCCTTAATCCTGATGTAAAATTGCCGGATATTTAATCGGCTGGCTGCACAAAGTGACTGGCTAGGACAACTGACCAACAAGTAATCGACACATGACTGGTCACTTGTGTTCAGTTACCATGATGTTCAATACGATGATAGAATGGGCAGACACTCGGGACTGAGGTAAAATCGTTACAGCACGTGACGTGTTGCAATCCTAGTTCGATTTTCTCCAGACTCGTAATTACCATGGCCATTAACCGCAAGACTTAAGAAAGCAGTCACATCTCCAAATAACGAGTTCCAGATCGAAACACAACCAGACCGGCAAGGACATTGCCAGTTCGTAGAGGACTGTATAGGAAAGATGAAGAATTTGACGTCATTGTAAGTCCACACCTGAGATACGTCAGTCGAAGGAATGAGTAGTGTCAGCCTCGTGTCGCTGGAGCTGTACAAGTACCTAATACCCTCTCAGAAAAGGTTTCGGCTCCACAAATGAACCGTGTATGTGAAAACACCTTGTACACCGAAGTGGTCATCTGGATGTGATACTACTTGTGAGGTTGCTGAAGACTCCTGAAGCCCGCCTACAGCCGGGTTCCCTCCAGTAAGGGTCCATCAGCTAAGCATATTGTCCAAGATTCCTTGGGGCACAGCGCATTCCTGGTTAGTTCTAAGAAGTTCGAAACCAGTAACGGGCTGCTCATGAGTTTTCGTCAATCTGATTCCCGTTTTTCTCATTCATTCACCACCGTTTTCAATCCCATGAAAGATTTGGCTGTCGCATCCGTACGTCTTTGTGACTCCAACATCCCTGCTTTTGTTTGTTGACTGAGTGAAGTCAACGGCTATCTGATTATATCCGATACCATGAGTTACAGCTTGACTAAAGGAAAGTTATATTGTTGATACAAAACCAGGTGATACATGTGACGGAGAAAGTTGGCCGTCCTGAGTGATGAATGATGGCTATCGAGGATCGGTATAATCACAGTTTGTGCAGGCTCACGGGCAGTTATAGCAACTTTGAGGCAAGGAGGGTGAAGTGAAATGGTTGGGTGATACGCATAAAATAAGCCACCGACTAAAATTGATTGCCAAGCCTCTACAGAAAAAGCATCAGTGAGATCTAGTTAAGTGACTCCAGGAGTGCTGGATTCACCGTAATTCACCTTCGCCATTTCTCCTACCAGATTGTACTGCATCGTAACATGATGCCCCATAAAGTAGACATTCTGTGTTCAAGTGGCAGTCTGATCGGTTTTTCTGTTACAATGCCCCCCCCCCCACATATAACTACCAGACAATTAGCTCAATGAAACTGTTTTCATCTTGGGGGAATTGCTTACTGGGTAGCACGTAAAACTATATATTTCAGGGAAGCAGGTGGGTTTTTCAGCACGGGAGCGAAGTGTGTTGTATATCGCTAGCGCCCCACACAGTTGCGACTATCAAGGACCCCTGGGTAACCGGGATTAGAAGGGCTGCTCCGCTAAGGTTGACAATGTTTTAGACCGGATGAACAAACTGTTTAAACCGGCCTTCGAATGCCCGAAATTCTGGGCAGCAACCCGGCAGGGTCACACAGTCGAACCCACTATGTGTAATTGGTGAGGCCAATTAAGGGCAAAGTATATCTTGTGTGACTGAACCAGTTCGATAGCTACTACTGTCACGGTTCCACCACCAAACCAGTAATTATCATTGGTGGGGAATATACAAAACTGCACATCGTGTCAGAACTTCCCTATCAAGTACGATCCAGCCAGCCTCTTCTGAGTAGTAGATGTCCTGTGGGACCGTGGCTTTGATGGGGACCCAACCATCAGCTCCTTTCGGTGCGTCATCCGAATGACCATACACATCAGAAAGCTTGTTTGATCCAAAGAAACGAAAGATGAGAAAACCTCTGGAAACATCCGTAATTTTGTTTCGAAAGCCTTCTTTCAGTCAAGCTATCAAGGGCTACGAGGAAGGTTAGATTCCCGAAATCTACTGAGACCCTCAGCTGCGCTAGATGCTGACCAGACGCCCCCGACCCCAATGTGCAGCGCTTCACGGCCTTGTATCAAACCCAGACAGCGCGAGTCAGCGTTGATCAATATGCAGTGCGTCTCAGCCTCGTACCAAGGCCTGACCGCGTGCGTCAGCATTAGACCAAGTTCAGACAGTGTCCCTCCAATAAATAGCTTGTACTTTCGCACTCGCACGCACTCACGCTGTCGCGCTCGCTTGTTCAGAATATAACTGTTGTGTTCGTTTCTGTGAGTTTCTTCCGACGCTAGGAACCGGAGCGGGTCAGCAGCAGATAACAGAGATTGGCGAATCAGTAGATATAACAAAGGTCAAGTTGGCTTTTGACGAAAACGTGTACTGTGAATATGGATCCCCCCTTCAGTCTCAGAAGTGTTTGAATGCATATCCCCACTCAAGCGTCATCTCATGCCTCTGGTCCTGATGACCTTTCCCTGCCCTGCTCAACACGACAGTGCCTGTCTAGCCTAGGTGAGTCCATTTGGAAGAAAGAAACCGTTCCGAAACAGCTGCTGTCTGTCGGTAATATTGCCTATCTTCAAAACAGGTACTCGCAGGGACGTCAGTTAGACTTCTGTCGTAACAATGTTACCGGTGTCACTGGTTTCTCCTCAAACGGTGATAAGTTTACTATAACTTACCTCATTTCCCAGGTTTTTTGAAAAATGATGGCGATACACTCTGGTCATGTGACACTGACAGCAACAACGCAAAGATGTTCGTTCAGCTATTGTTTTGGCAGAGGGCGGAATATGTCACTCTGGTCATGTGACACTGACAGCAACAACGCAAAGATGTTCGTTCAGCTATTGTTTTGGCAGAGGGTCGGAATATGTAGGTAAATAGAGTTACTGCTGTTTTGAAGGCACCGAAAGCTGTATAGTAGACTTTTTGAGGCATACAGTGTGCTCCTCTCTTCGAGATAGCGCTTCTTTCCTGAAGGTTTCTTATAAGGGTGTTAGTACGATAGTATGGTCCTCTTGTATCCTGCTCCACTAACCGTCAGTATGCTGAACTCGGAAGCTGACCGGGCAGAGTCCCGGGGAAGGGGTGAAGTTCATGGAGGAAATGACCAACTCTTGGATGTACAGATATGTCAAAAAAAGTCTCTTGCCAGCTGATCACCGAACCTATTCGTGAAGGCGCAGTATTGATTTTAGGTATCTGTTTTCACCGTACTTTGCTTAGCGTTCATCATCTGTTCTAGCCCTTTTCTCCAACGCATTTAAGGACGGCAATCTTATTGAGTAGTACTCTTATGTACTAAAATTACAGAGACTAGAACCCCGGCTCCCGACGGTTTACTCAAAGTTCTCTTCAGTAACCGCTAGTAACCATGATTATTCACGCCGCGTGTGGATCAATCAGCTGCATCGATCCCATCGAAATGAAACCTTACTCCTTTCATTTATTTTCCCTCAGATCCACCTATGGTGCGAATCTATCCGTTTGAACCGAGTCAGCTGGTCAACTGCAACCTGAGACTCGTGTGCACCATATCTGCAAACCCTCCGGTTCTAGAACCCGCCGTCTTTTGGACATCAAACAGGACTGGGAGCATAACCGCCGACACTCCGAGGTAAGCCAGACTCAAAGGGTCTGAAATGCCGCAAATCTATTACTGTGTGTGCGTGTGGTGCGCGAAAGACATTAGTGGGGGACCTGCGTTGAAGAATCGTCAGTCTGAATGAAGATGATGTGGAGGTGTATGCATCAAGTCTGTTGTGCAAAGTGCCACTTTCGAGGAGATGCCACTGCCCGAATCCTTAACAGCTGGTTGTTTCGACCTGCCGGTTTGTCTATTTCGCTGTTTATCCGTTTTGTCTCGACCAGCTATGCTCATCAGGCAACCTGTTCTGCAGAACGGTTGATGTGGATTAGCTGGCTTGAATGAGCGCGATGAGCGCGAATTCTGTAAACATCTCTTCTAGGAGGAGACTGAGCTTGCTCCGGATATCACAAACTCATACGCGCGTCTTCTGCAAAAGTGTTAACTCGACTAAACAATCTAGTTAGTCGATAATCATCCGATGAACTGAGCTATCAGCCTGCAAACGCTTCAGCACCAGTTGAACTGACACGATTAGTGCATAGGCCAGCGGTGAGATGCTACCTAGAAATCTTCAGTCTGGTTTCTTGACGATCTACCGTGCCCCTCACGAAAGCAGGGCGGGCTTCCATATGGAGCTTTATCTCATGTTGTACACTTCATGTTTCGTAAAAAACGATTGTATCTGTCAGCGGGTCGTTAGTCTGTTTTATTTCAGCAATCTACTGGTGTAACGGTGGATACTACTGATGAGGTATTCGAGTACTATGTGGTTTCCTCGTAACTCCACCTCACGTCTCATGTAAGGTGCACTCCATGGGGGTTATTACGGAGCCTGTGGAACTGCGTTGCAGCGTTCGTTTACACTTGCGTGATAGTCAATAAATGTCCATGAAAGTTCAAGAAAACGAGTGAGGGTGTTCAGTTTTTAAAAACAAGGTGCATATGAGATGTTTGCTTTCCTGTCCAATAGTTTGTGACCATTTAGGCGGTATTTGCTTATAGCTGACCTCGCATCGGAGGACTTTCCTGCTTACGTTGGTGCTTCAACAAGTTTCACCGGCTGGTGGACCACGAATGGTAAACCATTCGGCTGGCTGCTCGGGCAGCCCATTCGAATAACAGCACCCCAGGAAAGACCCTCAGTTGAAACAGTCATGCTAACTCTTCGGTAGGCTTGTACACGGCGTTCAGCGCAAAGCGCATCTGGCAGCACCCACGGACGAAAGTCGGCATAGTTAACCGAATGTTCAACCGAACTACAGTGCCGTGCACTGCAATTATCGAAGAGTTTGCCGTACCGCAGCGTCCAGCCGTTATCCCGCACTAATTAGTTATTATATGACGTTTATCACGAACGATGCGAATACAAAGAGCTCGTCGGTACACGAAAGATGTCAGTTGGGCTATTCGCATAAGATCTGAGACGTTTCAAAAAAGTGACCCAAAAAGCTATAGGTTATCTGCTCACCCTATGTCACCTGACAATTTGATTTGGTGGTGGTCTTTTTTTCACTCTGCTCAAAAATTTATGGCGTTGCCTGGAGAGCATACGACTCCACAGGGGAAAAGGACCGCGTGGAACGCCCAAATTTCCTTGAATCGACTCATGGTGTAGTTTGCGAACATGTATAGTTGCATGTCAGTAGGAATGAGTACACCTCAGGTGATTCTAAAGAAAACGTTCCTTGTACTGAAAATGCAAAATTTTCGTCAGTTCGTGAATTCTTGTCAGTACCTTCTCTGTGCTTTTCTGGGTTTCTCTGTTGTACGGCTACTTTATTTCATCCTCGCTCGGTTTTGTTATATTTATGTGCAATTCGAATATTTGTATTGGCACGTGTTCCCTCAAAGATCATGTGACTGCCAACCAAGCTCACGAGCTAACGAACAGAATCGCCTGTCCTAAAAGCTTATAAGTCCAAATAAGCCAGGGTACTAGACTACTAATAAGGTTGCTGAAAACCTCTGAGACGTCGAGTTGGTGTGGTAGATTACACGCTCGCCTACCGTCCATCTGAGTTCGATCCCCGTCAGAGCATACACTCGAAATTAGGTGGAGCTGACACAAATTTGTAAGCAGAGACTCACAGACACCCAGATCTTGACATCGGTTACTAGAGACTAAGCAGACCTTAAGCGGAATCAAAAAATTCGGGGAACGAGCAGCAAGGAAATGAACTCCCTCATAATAAACAGGCGTAAATCACGCCACCCATGAGTAGTCAGGACAGAAAAGAATCACTGTTGATTCACAAGAGAAGTCAACATTGATCACCACACTTTTCTCCCAGTTTTACCACATTTCCTTCTCTTTGTCTGTTTTCATCCACAGAACAAGAATTCAGTACCTTAATGCTGGATTGATGAGACACTCGGTTCTCGACCTACTCCCAGTCACATCAGCTGATTTTGGGCAAATGCTCACCTGCTCAGCAACCAATAGTCTTGGAGAATCTTCATCTTCTGTGGTAATTCAGCGTGAGTTCTCGTCGATTTCAACCAAATCTTTGCTCTCGTTAGTTATTACATAGTCCGAGTCCAGTAGATTTTGTTGGTTTGAAGCCCTCCAACACCCACCTTGTTGGGGCAACTTGGTCGGTTTTTGTCTTGCAAGTTTGTGTTACCACGAACTAGAGACAGCTGAGGGGCGTTGCGAGATTGCGGCCATCTTTACTTGTGCACACCTCTAAACTTTTTGCCTCTGAGTACGTAAACTTGGAGTTAGTTGAACGAGGCTCATTTATCTGGATATGTATGTTGCTCCGTATAAACCCACAAACCCGTAGGAGTGTCTTACAGGATGCTATTGGGTAGAAAGTTCCTTCGCGGTCAAATTAAATTGAGTTGATGTTGTAGGCAAACTATTGCTCCATGCGCACAGACAGATTTCCTTGAAACAATAAGTGCCTAAGCCACGCTTATTCGATCATCGGTCGCCGATGAGATTCACCAGCGAAGGATGCTGTCGATATTAGCCGATCGATAGTTCAGTCGTATCACGTGGTGAGTGGTGCGGGATAAATCCATGTCAGGGCTCGAACAAGATATGTAGATGATCAGTAGTCATGTTTCAGCCGATATAAATCGACCATTCTGAGAATGATGGTACTGTGAAAAGGTTTGGAAATTGTCTACGGAGATTTTGTCCTGTAAGTTAAACCAGTCCGTGCTGAAAAGCGGAGAAGCACTGTACGGCTGTTTCATCCCCACTGGGATGTAAGTTTTGAGCTCAAGACCTTTCGGCCAGTGACTCAACACTTAGCCGTTCGGCCACGAGTGGCTGACCAGTAGTATGATTAGATCTCACTTGGCATGGCAGATTAATGACTGGCTCTTCGAGTGGCTTCTTAGAAGAAAGTTTTACTTATCCAGTGAAGTTACTCTTTTCCTGAACTACTTCTAGATTATTGGTAGTCTGCGGAGATTTCAAGCGAAGTTTTGTCTTGTAAGCGAAGTCAATCAGCACGTGACCACGAGATGTGGCTTCCTTGAATGAGTGGCCAGGTACGAGTGGTCCTCCGCTGGTGGCCGGACGGATGTGTTGAACCACTAGCCGGGAAGTCACGAGTTCGCAACTTTCTGATTTTCGTAACAAGCGTACTGCTGATGATTTCCAATAAGGACGAGACAGCTCCACAATGCTTATCTGCTTTTCAGTATCCTAAGTTTTCGTGAAGATCTATAGTAACCTGGGGACCACGTTTATTCATATGACAAGTGCTTTCATGTTGAAAGGGACTCTACATCCAAATATTAGTGTAAGGTAACTTAAACAAAAGTATCAGTCTCCTCCGATTAGAATACATAAGGATGAAACCCACTTGTAGAGGAAACCGAATTGGCTAAAAGATTACTTCACTCCGCGGCATGAATGGGAAGAAGCGAGATACGTTTTCGAGAAGTTCAATCTGGTAGATCAAGCATGTTATTGCGGTAACTTCGGGAAGGAAGAGAGTTTTTATTGGTAGAATCGCTGTAGTGTCTCTGTGATGATATGGACGGTGTTTTACGGAGATCAGATGTTAAAGTAAGACTCAGATGAAGTTCTTCGCAATCTCCTACAGATATTGTGCTGAACAAAGGCCACCTCTATGTACACCGCCAAATAACATGAGTTCTACTCATTCAAAACACGTTTCAATCATCAGCGTGCAGTTCGGTGCAACCCACATACTTCGTGTTGAAACAGCCGGCTCTGCTTAATCGTTTTCCGTTTCCAAAAAAACAAAAGTTAAACGTGTGGATAAAAGAGGTCCGAGGAACCTAGAGACTACAAGAGCAATTGGTTTTGAGAATCCTCAGGTATTGCACATCGTCCAGAACACAGACGACGCTGAGCAGGACGTTTTATGCAAGAAACTGGAACCAGTAAAGGTGAAATATCGATGGGTTTTACCGAAATACACTCAGTTGCAAACAATTTTGGTTGTGGGAGTATTGTAGTTCACAGTAAGTCAGCAGAACACGTAAGTACGGACACGGGTGTATTGGGTACACGCGGCCAAACTGGTCCGCCTTCGTGGCAGGTAAGCAAAACAACTGAGTCACATATCCAGTCAAACCACAGCGCTCACGCGAGCCAACCAATCGGACACGCATCCAATCAGCCACTCATGTCACTCGTCAGATCGATGGTGGAACGACGAACGGACACGCACACGCGCAAACTCTCTGACACACCGAAGCAGCTACTACAGCCCTCCACTGCTAGGTTTAGCCAACTCCAGCTTGATAACGTTCGACCGGCCTTGACT